AGGCTTGCTGTGGAGCTGTGCATGGATTCTCGTTGCTCTTCTCCTGATGTCCCTAGGACAACAGGTGCCTGCCTCCATGGTTTAGGGACCTGCTTTTATTGTCTGCTCCCCTCCTAGGTCGGGAGTTGGAGGACTTGCTGGTATTGCACCTGTGATGATTAATGCTGAAAGGCTCTTGTTTGGGATTGATCTTTTATTTTATGTTGCCTTTGCATTTTTGTTGTGGCAAACATATTGCCCCAGACGTGTCTAGTCTGATGTTGTTAACATGTCTATACTTTAAAAGTTTCTGAAAAGCCTGAAAATAAACTGCCAAACTATTTTTTTTTCTTTTCTTTGCCTCTTGATAAATATATTAACAATGTCAGCATTGAAAAAAAAAAAAAAATTAAAGATACCACAGCAGGAATAAGCAGCTGTTTACATCTAAAGTGATTCTGTTTCGTTATCACAAGATGACCTTGTCACTTACAAATCATAAAAATATTTCCAGGGAGAAGAAATGGAAGTTTGCTGAAGGGGAATGAAGTTTTGGTGTTGTTTTTAGTTTAAGTCTGAACAGAGAGTTGTAAGCAGAGTTGAGCCCCGCAGCTGGTCCTGAACGCAAATGTTTCCTTCAGTCCCACTCCTATAAACGCAAAACAAATGACATATGAAATACTATTCCTGTTTCACATTAAAACTCCTGAAAGTCATTTTCCATTGGAACTGGGAGGAGTTCTGCAAAAATAATCCATGTTTTCTGTTACAGTGCATTTGTTACACTGGATTGACACCTTGCTTCTAGATTAAATACTTTTCCACATATCCAGACAGAAAGACAAAATGGGGGTCTTAACAAGTAGAAATAAGCAGCTGGAAAGAATGCATAGGGACCCCTCTTTTTTTTTTTTTTTTTTTTTTTTTTTTTTTGTATGGTTGTTGTTGTTGTTTGGGTTTTTTTTTTTTTTGGGGTTTTTGTTGTTGTTGTTTTTTGTTTGTTTGTTTTAATTTTTTTGATTTTTTTTTTTAAATAATCTTGCAACTGCACCAATTTACACTTTTCCCAGTAGGGTGATTTTTCCTCTCCAAAACATAGATGTGAATAACATGAACTTATGTTTATGAGTTGATGGATGCTTAAAGGCTGCCAAGTACCTTGGACTGACTTTTAGGAGAGTTTGTAGTATTCTCTTTTCCTGAACATACAGGAACAGATAGGAATTGGTGTCTCAAGTTGGGCTGAAAATGCTGATCTTGGGTTTTGCTTTGCTTTCTGGTCTCTTGGTTGATCTTGCTGAGCTGAGTGGACACTCTTGGTTCAGGGAAAGTGTCCACAAATCCCAGCAGCAATTATGGAGATGGCCCAAGACATGGAGAGGGTCTTTGAGAAGCAGTGTCTTTACTCATGTCCCCACCTTGCACTTCAGGGCATAGGAGGGAGAGGGGACTGATGGCATAAAACAAACCAACACACACACGAAAATATGGCTATAAATTTCTTGTCAGATTTCATAATAAACAACAACAAGGTGAACTTAAGACCACCTGAGCGGCTACTTCAATTCTCCTGTGTCTCTAGAACATTTGCCTTTAAAATTCTGGACAAACTAATAAAATGGAAGCTGGTTTTTTAGTAGCATAAATTTGTCTATCTGGTCACCTAAATTCACATAGTCCTCTCACAGTTCTCTTGTTTGCTTGGCATCAGAACATATGGGGAATGAGGAAATACCCCAAGAGGCCAAGGACTGTGTGGAAAAGTTGTAGCATGAGGGCAATGATAGAGAAAGAAAAGTGGTTTTCTTTGAAGCAGTTGATGAATCAGTGCTAGAAATAAAAGGTGCTTGTGTAAAGGCAATAATAAGAGATATCGATGGGTGTGAAAAATGTGACTGTAGTTTTCTGGGTTTATGCTAAAGTTATGCTAAAGCCAGCAATGCCATCCATTCCTGCACTATTGGAGAGAAATCCAGTGTGATGCAGAGCTGCTGTATAGCTAAGGGAGGTGCTTCTGTGATTGCCCAGTCGAGGAGACAGATTCATACTTACCAGCTTCACACCAGCTGCTGCAGTGCCAGTTCTCCTTGCAAACTGTACCTCCAGTAGCTGGCAAAGATCTTCCTTCAAGAAAAGAGAGAAAAAATGAAAAAAGAAGGGTGGGGGAATGGAGTGGGGTGGGCAGTGGCAGACAGTACCCAGGGCTAAGCCTCACACCTTGCAGGAGTTTGGAGCAAGTATTGCCAAGACCCAGGTGCCAAGAAATCCCAAGATTCCATGTAAAATCCTGTGATTTACAAGGAAGAGCTCGTGGCCTGGTTTGCTGGAAATGGAGTATAGCATGAATACATTATGGTTTTTCTCCCTGTCATTTTCAAGGCTACAGATTCATCATCTTTTACACATCTCCTTTCCTTTGTCACTTTTTGCATGTCACTTACTGTCACCTGGGCCTTTAATCTGTCTGGAAAGAAATATGACAAAGCTGAAGGGACCAAGAATCTGTTGTAAAAGGGATAAAATGCATGAGCAAAAGCAGAGCAACCAGAGCTTTAATGATGAGGGGTTTTTACCTCTTTCTACCCTTAAAATTTCCATAGCCTGATGTCTGACAGTAATAGTTCATTGAAGAGGCATTAGGTTTTTTCGTATGTTTTTTAGTGTAAATTGCCATCTACCTTAAGTGTGCTGGAATGAGAAACCTGTGTGTTTCACCCTGGGATGATAAAAGGAAGCTCAATATGCCAAGTGCCACATTCAGTTTTGCTGCCTATAGGAAAGGAGTATGAAGAAGAGATGAGGCTGAGTTCTTCTGGTTTTCATTTTGGTTTTTTTTTTCTTTTTTTCTTTTGTTTGTTTTTAATATGAACCCCTTTTTAGTTAGTTTTGTGAGGTTCTGACACCATGTAGTATTTGTGATTTTATTTGAAAATTTTTAATTTGGTTTTCTGTATTTCCTCCCCAAGGTGGCACTGACAATTTAATCTCACCTTCTTTGAAAGTTCCTGTGCTTGGTAGGATTTGCCATCCCCCATTCCAGGAAAGTGTAGAGGGGCTTCAGGATGTCCTAGAGTGGGGGGGAAAACTTTTGTATTTCTTTGCATCCTGCATTCCCCATTCAAACCCTTGTATCATGAAGCTTTTAGTCTCTTTGGTGATATTGCAGAAGGTATCATGCATTTAAGGAGGTTAAAATTGTGCTGTTAACAGACAGCTTTCCAGACTGTTTTCACTTCTGTTTTATGTGTCCAAATTCTTGCATTCAAAAGAAAGACCCACAAAGAAATGCTTGACCATTTAAAGCAAATGCTTCCTTGCAAACAGAAAGAAAAAACAGCACAGATGAACCCTGAATATGTTTGTTCCTCTCCCCACCTCCAATTCCTCATAATTCTGGATCTTTACTTGTGATTTTGAAAGGTATCTTTGATCCCTTGCTGTTATTCTGTGTAATGTGGCCAGTGCTGTCCCTTCAGCCAGGAAGACTGTTGATTAGACCAGTGAAATTGCTTTTTGAAAGGCACATTGAGCCCAGTAAAGGATTTTTGTTGAAAGTGAAATTCTGGATGATATTCAAAGCCTCTCCTGGAAAACTGCCCACTTGCATAGTCTGAGCTACCTGTGATATCCCAGCATGGGTGAGGACAGTTATCTTTTTGTTAAGAAAATTATTTTTCTGTCTATATAACAAAACTAGTCACTTGCTGTGATAACTGTTGTCTTTCAGCTAGAAAACATGAGAATGTCCCAGCCCTCTGGATTATCTTGTATCCAACCTGATGAGTAAGCGTATCCGCTCTTATTATTCTTTCCATAAAATTAAAGAAATTATGGAGCTTAAGGCGGTCGCTAATGAATCAATTTTAATTTACAGGCTCAAATAAAATCCGCAGTAAGGCTGACAAACTGTAGCTTCAGGTAAACATGAAGCATTTCCACTGAAGACCTAAATTAATTCTCTACTGGATGTCTCAGCTTCTGCCACAAGAGCAGGAGGGTCAGGGTCCCATTTCATGTCAGAGGAGACAGAATCCTCAAGAAAATGGATGCAGTGGTCTAGCCCTTAGGAGGTCTCTTTCTGGCATGCAAAAGCAGAAAAATCAAAGACTAATAATATTTCTCTCCTTTTTTTTTTTCTTTAAACAAACAAAGAAGCAGAAGATTTTTCTCTATAGAATAACTGTTTTCTAAATATTTTTGCGTCAGAAATTGTACATTAGAGGTTTGTCCCATGAAATCAGAGGCAAATGTGAGTTCCTACACATGCACAAGTCAGTCACCCCTGGACCTGTATATGCCTCAGGAAGAGCAGCTTGCAGAACCCAACCTCTGTGTGTGTGCTCTTAAGCTGAGAGATGCTCACTGCAGCAGGCAGGATCAGTTCCTTCTGTGTCTTCTTCATGGAGACCAAGCTTTTTGGAAAAAAATACCTCATTTCAGGAGGTGCATCCATGCTGGGCAGAATGATGGAATAAAGCTTAGCCATGTGAGCCTAATGCAAGGGTGTTGTCTCGTGAATGATCAAAGTTTCTTTAACAGGCCTTGGTATGAAAACATTATTTTGGTTTTTAGACAGCTTATTTGGTGATTTTCTTTCTCCCACTCAAGTGTTGCTGTTTTTGCTTTGGCTTAAGGAGTATTTGACAAGATTTTTTGTTTTGTGGGAACACTTTATAAAAATGTTGCAAAACATTTTGTTATGTCTGCTATAAAACATGCAATGATTATTTTTTGTCATCATTGTTGGTTTAGTCCTTGCATTTTGTTTGTGAGGATGCTGGTATTAAAGAAATACCTCCTGGAGGGGAAGGGTTGTGCCACCATGCCTCTTCTCTTTTGGTAATAAGCTGATGAAGTCGTTGGTGTTTGCCATCAGCCTCTGTGTGCTCACTGCTGAGCTTCCCCAGGTGATGCTGAAGTCCTGGCTCCTGCATCTTTTTGACACTTCAGGGGCCACTCAGCTTCTTGACCTGTCCTTCTGTCTGGCCTGTTTTCTGACTCTCATCCTTATTGCTTTCCAGATGCAGTAATCGGACCCAGTGTGCGGTTGTTGCCGGCCCTGATGTGTTTCCAGACCCATGCCCCGGGACGTACAAGTACCTGGAAGTGCAGTATGAATGTGTCCCTTACAGTATGTATCCTGATATATTTGCACTTGTTATTTCAGTAGAGATTTATTGTGGAGATTGGGACGGCCTTGAGCTTGTCTCTTGTTGCTCAAGGGCGAGTAAAGCAGACCATGTGCATCATATGAGACTGAGCTGATAAGATATGAAAAATGGTTCTCTGTGTCAGGTTTGTGCTTAGGTTAAAAATATCCTAATAATGTCTCCCGTGTTGTACAGCATAACAGTGACATATCATCTTTTGGAAAACACTTGGGAAACCCCATTAGAGGAAGCAGACCAGAGGAGTGAAGCACTATTGCTGCCTTACAGCTTCTCTTTACAGAGGTTTATGCTTGTAATCATACAGCAGTGTGCTTCGACTGACCTATGCCCATGTAATTGGTGGCATTTGATAAGTGCTTTAAATACAGTATTGTATCATCAAGGAGGTAGGAAGCTATTGTTTTGGGTAATTTGATTTTTGATGGTAGAAAAATATTAATTTATAAGCTTCCAACGTTACGAAGGCAAATTACAGGCAAGCCATTTAGACTGAATTTTTGAGGATAGAAAGCCAGTCACCTGAGATGACAGCAATATGTGCCAAGTGGGAAATTCAGAGCTACAAAACATTGTGTACCTCAGAATTTGCTTTCTGTGGAAACCAAATTTGTTACATGCAGTTGCAGCCCTACTGCCAAAAAGGGTGTACCTGAAAAAGGAAATAGCAATGATAATAGGAGAAGTGCACTTTTTATTAGCAGTTGTAGAGACCTGAGTGGTGAATAACAGTACCATTTCCAGGTTTTCTGTTTGAGCAGGCCAAAGCTTATTGTAGCACACCTCTTAAAATAATAAAGCAGGTATGGGAGTGTATGCTTTCAACCCACGGTGTTGTACTGAGAGCACAGCAGGAGGCATCAATCTGCTGAAACCCAGAGTCTGGCTCGAGGACTAAGACCATCTTTGTTGCCTCAAGCGTGGGCTGCAGGAGAGCAGACGTGGCTGAGCAATGGCAGGCACCCTGTCCAGAGGGGAAACAAGAGTTTACAGCCCCTGGGGTGGTCCCCATCCCCCAGGCAGGAGGTGGCCACCTGCCTGCTGCCACAGCCTGGAAAGACTGCGTGGTGTTTGGTTTCTGTGAAACTCCAAGACCACCTCTCTGAGTAAAGGGGACCTCTCTGTTGAGGAACTGGGATACTCTGCTGGCAGCAGTCTCAGTGTGCCCATATTTGATTTTTCTAAACAAAACTGTGAAGCTTCTAAATGCAGTGATGGAATACTTTTTATGGGGTGAGCTATTAAACTCATGGAAAGATTGACATCAGGGCTTAGGATCTACCCTATGAAGCAGAATATACTCCAAATTATAGTTTAGAGTTATTCCACTCTAAATGAGGCTTTTCATTTCAGAAGCAACGCTGTGCATGGAAAGGGTTAGGGAAGATTGGTTTCAACTTATCACAGCAGGTTGTATTTCCCTGTGATTTATGATTTGCATGAGGGTATGCTGTTCCCTCCAGAGACTGGGCTGGTAAAGCAGTAGTCATTACCTAGTACCCCTCCACAGCCTTTGTTGCACATAAAACAAAGAGGAATAGTGTGCCTTGTGAGAAAGGCAATATGTCAGTATTACACCCCAAAGTGTTAATTGGCCCTGTGTACAAGAAGTAGAATAACTCTTGTGAGAGGTTGCTCAGTAATAAATGTACAGTAGGGACTGAGTATTTTTTAATGATCTGAATGCAGGGAGGAGAAGGATGACAACTGACATGCTGCTTTTGCAATTAAGGTAGCAGCTTTGATGGCTGTTTCCTCCATTTCTTTATGAATCAAATATAGGGCCTGTAAGTAGAGTTAGGGGGGAAGACAAAGGGTAGGCACATGATGAAATAGGGTCCAGTCTTCTGAGGTTGTTGTTGTGTGTTACTTAGGAAATTTTGGGTCAAATCCTCATGTGTTGTTATTCAGTGTAGCACCAGTGAACTAGGTTGTGTTTAGGCAAACTGTGTCCCTTCATGTGCTGACATGGAGTGGGAAACCTAGAGCTCCATTTTATTGTTCTCCTGCCTCAGTCTCCGCCTGGCTTTGTTGCTGGCTATATTTCTTCCCTCAGAATGGTCAGATGAACTTTGCAGGTGTTCCCCACCTGGGCCCCACGAGTGTCCCATAAGTGAAAGCCATCCAGTCAATGGGGAAACTGTCAGCTCTGGGCAAGTAGGTAAGCAAAGGCATGTCTGGACCAAAGCCACGCCTGGTGGATGAAATCTGTTCCTTCATTTCTGCCCTGTTATTGTCAGAGGTCAGTTCTTGTCACTGAGCCCACATGCCTCAGCCCCTGTGCAGCCAGCCTTTGGTGCGTGGTGGGGTCTGCCATATGGCCATCTGCTAAAGGAACACCTCAATTGCATAATAAAGGAATTAATATTTCAGCAGGCAGTTGTACTTGTGTGCAATTCCAGCTTGCCTTTGTCTGGTTGGATGGGTTACTCCTCACAGTTTCAAATTATTCTTCATGGACAGAGAGTGGGTTTACCCAAGTGTTGGCTGAGCAGCAGAAGGGAGGGTGTGCGTCTCAAGAGGAGAGGGTTTGGGAGTCATCTCTAACAAATGTTATTAGGACTGACCTTAGGCACTTGTGCTCAGTATAGTGCTAGTATATATGCTCCTCCAAAGAAAAAGTATGGAAGATTTAAAACTCCATTTGTTACTTGGCTTCTCTTGAGAATTTATTATTTATTTATTAACTCTTCCACCACTAGCTCATATCATTTTCTAGAGGAAATTGTCTCCCTTTCCTCTCAGATGGGGGAAATCCAAGTGTCCTCTATGAGTGTAGTTCATATATTGTAAAATGTGCTTTACATTACCCCACACACTGCATTCCTGTGTGTTTACTAGATACCCTGACAAGGAGAGTTTTATGAGGCTGCAGTTACTCTTACCATGTGGACAAGATGAGAGATGATTATGCAGATAGCCCAGTCCCCTTCTCATAATTCCTGATCCTGTGGTTGCTTTATTGGGGAGCTGCAGCCTTCTACTAGAATGGACAGTAATTCCAGGACACCTGGGCTTCATAGGTTGCCCTCTGACAGTGAAAAGTAGGTGATATCAGCAGGTAAAAAGATAGCAGACCTAATTTGTCAGGCTTCAGTGGCATCAGTTGCCCTATTTTTCTGGTATCAGAAAAAATCATCCAAATAATTTTGTCTTTCTCAAAGCAGGCCTTAGCATGTGGCATGTATTGCTCTTAACACTTGCTTTAAGGTGCTGCCCCTTTTCTTCTGAAATACTTAATTTACTACTCCAGTTTCCTTAAATTGAATTTGCTTTTAATAATTACTGACCAAGAGAGATTTTCCATGGTTTTTAACTGAATATGTACTACTGCAGACTTGCAGTCTGCCATTGCCAGAGCTGTGGACATGTTTCCTTGTGGAGAGGTGACTGAGCTGTTTTGAGCTGTGTGTGAGTATGGTGAGGGCCCCCTTGATCCATACTCTGTTGTTTCCTACTGCATTCCTTCCCTCTGCCCTTCTCCCTTTACAGAGCAGAGTTAAATGGGTAATGCGAACAGCAGTGGTGGAGGTGGTTTTGTAAAGCTAGGTCAACACTCTCATTGCAGAAACACTTCACTATCATCTTCTGGTGCTTTTACAATCCTGTTGTCATGGTGCCACTACATCTAGGAGGGAATTTTTCTTATTTCACCTTTTTAATGTGCTAAAGGCCTTCCTGTTTTACTCATGAGCCAGCACAGAAAGCAGATGAGTGTTTTATCCAAAGCTGTACATGAGACCAGTGGCCAGCAAGAGAGCCCAGTTTTGCAGGAGCAGTGGTGTTGGGAGAGCTGCCCAGCTAGTTGCCACTCTCATATGACACATTTTCTATCAATAACACAAGAAACCCAAACCCACCCTTTGGTTTTGCTAATACTGCCTCTGTGTGTACGTGACACCTGGCAGCTCAAGCCATCCATGTTTTAGTAGTTTTGCAGGTGTTTTGGAGAAGGAGTTGAGGCCCCCTTTTCTCTCTTAAGCACGTGTGCTCCATAGGACATGGCAGTGGCACTGCCCTTCACGGGTGGCACTCCAGATCAGAAGAGGGGTAAATTCCAGCATGCTAGCAGCTATGCCCACCATTTCAGACTGAAATTTGTTGATTGTCTGTGTTTAGTTTTTATTTGGGTTTTGAAAGTGGTATGAGTTGAAAGCACCAGAAGTATTTTGGAATGCTTTCTTCTGTTTGTTTCCCTGTAGAGACAACCTTACAGGCCCTCAAGGATCCAGCACAGTGTTGAAAAGAGGATTGAGGTGTATCTTGAGTCAGATTTACCTTCAGTTTATCTTGAGCTCCCAGTTCCCTTAGGCTCTAGGTTTTGGAGGTCACAGAATAACTTGTGCACTTTGTTTGTTTGTTTGTTTGTTTGTTTTTAATTATTTTTAGCAGGGAATTGGAAAATTTAAGCTATGGGATAGGGCAAAGTGCCAAAAGGGTGGTGACTCAGTGAGGACAAGCCCATTGCTGCATTGATGGAAAGGATGGCAGCAGCAGGAGGGTGCCTCAGGCATGGCATATCCATCCCACTGTGATGATAACCTGCCTCACACCCAGGCCACCAGCCTTCTATCAGCTTTTAATATTGGGGAGATTGTTCAAAGGGATGTTTCTTGCAAGGGAAAAATGCTCATGGCTTCCAGGAATGGATGAATTGTTCTTTCTTTCCATTCTGTTTCTTTCTGTGTGGGCTAATGTGAAGGCACCACACATCTCTGGTGCTTACAGAGAATGTCCTTCTTTAATACTAACAAGAGGAAGGGAGGGGAAAAAAACAGCACATGAGCATATTTTATCCTTTTTTCTTTTTAAACATGGAACCTGCAATCACATTTCCCAGTTGCTGTAGTGATGGAAGAAAAGGTCATAGCCTTGCTAGAAATATTCCTTTTATTGCTGGTAGAAGAGTAGATGGGCTCACGTATCAATAAAAGTGAGGGATGGTAAGTGTGATGTGGGAACA